GTACCCTCAGAGCCTGGTAGGTTCCAGCAGGTTAATGTCAGGACGGTTATTGCAAAGACCTTACTCTCGGTGGAGATACGGCACTTTTAAGTTAAACTTTGGAGCAGGGACCAGCCTGAGTGTCCAACCAAGTAAGTAATGTGGGGCAAAGGTGGACATTGACAGCTAATTCTTCTTTGTCTGAGATGCCCAGTTGAGCGCAGGTGCTTTCTTTTGTTGAATCCCAAAATGTTCTCTCCACCCATCCCAAAACATCCTCCCATCCTGCTCTCAATGCTCAGCAAACACCCTTGGGCCAGAACCTGAAAAATTATGAGTCAGATGATGGGCAAGGAGTCCTGGACCTTTCACGAGAGGATCCAAGACACTGTTGTCCTGAGCAGGGGGTGTTGTCTACTGAATTCTGTGTTTATGGAAATCAGAACCTCCAATCCAGAGCACTACAGCAGGATGGGGTGGGAAGAAAAGGATTAAGAGACAGACTCAACACAGAAGAGCAGAAGGTCTAACTCTAAAGAGTGTGATCCTCTGTCCCCTCTGAGAGACCAGTGTTTCTCACTGAAGTAGGAGACAGGGCCAGTGAGTTTCTGTAATGGTATCCCCAGCAGTGTGAATACAGGAGGAGTGACCAGTAAACTCACATTTGGGAAAGGAACCCAAGTGTCCATAATATCTGGTGAGTCATTCCAGGTGGCACCATTTGCAACCCCATGGACCAGTGTCAGTAACCTTTTCCCTGGGGATCTTATTACTATGGCAAGGCTAACTGTGAGTGTTATAACTGTCTTACAGAGGCCTCTGTGAATGGAAAAGGCAACACTATCGATCTTGAAAATCCATGTTTCTCTAGGTCAAACACATTAAAATTTGACTTTAATCATTCAACAGATAACTTTAAATGCCTTCTGTGTGGCCATCACTCTATAAAATGTGAGACTGAGTATGCATATCTAAGATAGATGTCTGAACTGTCTCCAAACAGTATAAAAACTAGTCAATGGGACCGAGATATTGTAAATTTAGCAACCTGAAAACCATTTTTGTATCAACCAATTGATGATGTTAACAGGTACGGTAGAGATTCAGAGAAATGGGATCCTAGATGAAAAGTTGGCCTACATGGAAAAGGTTTTATGAAGTAGAAAGAATTTGTTGAGGCTAAAGTATAAATTAAGATCTGTTTGGGCAAAGTAAGGAGATGAGAGGACTTCCAGGCATAAGAAACACCAAGAAAGAGGGCATGATCTCAGGAATGAACAAGGCATGTGCATTTTGGCCAAGTAAACACTCTGATAATGAAGTTAAATGGAGAGAAAGCCAAAGATGTCTTCAGAGACAATGGAGAAAAGGAATGCTAGAGCCTTCAGGATAATATAGACAAGACCATTAGGGCCAAGGCCAGCCACTGGGAAACAGGGAAACAATTCAGAAATGCAGACCAGAGGTAAATGCAAAAGAGGCCAGCTCTTCCTATGGACAGCTCATGGCCTAGACCACCCTACTTTGTTGCTCAATGGCCTGTAAGAGCCCATCCGTCAGAGGAGGGGAAACCTAAGGCTTTTTGTAATGAAGACAGTGAGAGTGAGATGGAGGTGTTGCCTCCAAGATGCAGTTTGGCAAGGGAACCAGAGTCTCCATTACTCCAGGTATGTCTGTGAGGGTTCACTGCTTCCTGATGCTCACGAGGGCCTCAGTGGGACTCAAACTCAAAGTCAGTACTGCTCACTCACATTTAGGGTTCCTGGTGCCCAACTTCCAAACACAGATTTGGTGGTAAGGGAGCTTTCCATCATTGCTGTGCCCTGGGGATCTTAGGCACTAGAGCCTTGGAACATGTGCTTCTGTGGTTAATTCTGAATTAAAATGAATGGTGAGGATCTAGAAATAGCTGGACTTCCACACTGAAAAGTTGATCCAGTCTTGCTAAGCCTACCTTCTGAGATGTCATCAGTGGCAATAGGCATTTATCTTACTACAGTGGAACAGGATGTTTTTCTCTCAGGGCTCTGGCAGATGGACCCCTAAAGACCTCCAAATTAATAATGACTCATTCTTTGTTTTCAGACAAAAATGTTGCATTGAGGCACCTGGGATAAAAGTAAAAGGGGACTTTATTTTTTAAGGACTTCTTCTTTAGTATTTATTTTTATTTATTTATTTGACTGCGCCAAGTCTTGGTTGTGGCAAGCAGTATCTTTAGCTGTACCATGAGAACTCTTAGTGCCATGTGGGATCTAGCTCCCTGATCAGGGATCGAACCTGGACTTGCAGTACTGGGAGCTCATTCTTAGCCATTGGACCACCACGTTAAGTCCCTAAAAGAGGGCTTTAAAAAGCCAAGTTTCGGGATAAATATCCAGGTTTTTTGACCAAAAAGTCTAATTAGTAGAAATTTTCCAAATCTGATGGTCACTAGGCTGTTTATTTATCCCACAATTATTTCTTGAGCACCTAGTATGTGGCAAAGACGAGGGACACAGCAGGGATCTAGGGACAGGTCCTAGTTGTCACAGAGCTTATATTCCAGGGAGCCAGGGTAAAGAGTTTTGTCCAGCTGTGTTCATACAGGGCATATACAGGACTTGAGAGAGGAAATTCAAGCGCTCCAAATCGTGGCAACCACTAAATGCTGTGCCACGAAGTATGGACATTATCCTATAGGTGATAGGAGTCTCTGGAGTATTTTGAACAGAAAGTGACTCGATCAGCTCCATGTTTTAGAGAGGTCATTTGGATGATGAGCTCAAAGAAGAGACTGAGGTCAGGGGAGCAGGAAAGGGTGAGTAAGAAGGAAACCAGGGGTAAGGAAGCCGGACAGGAGAAACAACAGCTAAAATGCACATGGGGAAAGCCCAAGAGTATCAAGTGGTAAAAACGAGAATTGAGAGAGGCTAAAAATCACCTCAATTCTCTGACTTCACTAACTGCTCTTTCATTTTGATCTCTCACTAGCAAAGTTGAGCAACAATAAGCCTGCCCTGGTATCACCCTCCACGGACCTAAGCTGGCTTTAAGTCTCACTCTCAGTCCCTGCAGCCTTTCCTCGTGGTCTGTGGCATTGCACCCTCCACACCAATGCCATCTGATAGACTTTTCTGTGACAATGGAAATATTCTGTCAACCTGCACTGTCCTACACTGTAGGCATCAGCCACATGTGGCTACTGGGGTCTCAAAATGAAGGTTTAATTACTAATTGAATTTTTAATTTTACTTGATGTTTGTTGTTGTTGTTCAGTAGCTCAGTTGTATCTGACACTTTGTGACCCCATGGACTGCTGCACACCAAGCTTCCCTGTCCTTCTCTATCTCCCGGAGTTTGCTTGATGTTGGTTAGTGTAGCTAAAGACTATCACACTAACAGCGTGGTCTAGACCCTCTCCAGGCTGACAGCCACTGGCTCTAGGATCTGAGTGAGAGTTTAACCAGGACTCAAAGTCAGGTATCTGGCCCCCATAACAACCCGTTTCTCCCTCTGAAGTCAACCTGTGTCTGGTGACAGCTTTCTTGAGGCCACATTCTCTCAGCACCTCCACACCCTTCCACATCACCCTCTCTGGTCCCACCCATGACTCCCACTAATGACTGACACATCCACTGGGGTGTGGTATTAGCTAATGGCTTCCAGTCTCTCCCCTCCCAGTAAAAGATTTCTGCCATAAATCCTTAACCCACAGTGATGTCGTCCTCTCGGGCACATGGAGATTGGAGGGGAGCAGGCAGAATCCTTTGAAGCCAGAGCTTTGGGAGTTGCTCACATGTGACCATAGACAACCCCACCCATAGGCAGCTCTGCCTTGATTCAGCATCCCAAGGCCATGCCAAGGGCTGATTCCCCTGGTTTTCATCCAGATGGATATCTGCATTTCCAAGGCCACCCTGACTGGCTCAGCACACGGGGGGCGTCATGTATCACTGGTCTGCAAGATTTTGCCTGTGTGGTGAGAAGCTAGAGGAGCAGAGAACCACGGGCCCCGGAAGCTGCCATCCCAGCCCTGCTGTAAACTTGCTGGGTGGCCCCAATGTGTTAATCCTCCTAATAAACCTCTGCTTCCTCCTCCAAAGGCAGGAGGTCTGAAAGAATAAACCCTGAGGGTTGCTTTAAAAACACAGAATCCCATGAAAATACTGAGGAGTCATTCTCAGCACTAAAGAAAAGCCTCCTTGCTTTCCCTGGACGGAAGAGTAGAAACTGTATTACTGGGTAGCGCAGTTATCATGGCAATCTCCTGGTAGTATCAAGAGCTGCAATTACTAAATTATTTCAGTTTATTAAGTATAACTTTACATGGAGAAACTCTCATGGCTTCTCAGAAGAGCCTGGTCAGGAAAAAGAATGAGGCAATATCCCCACTTGACAGATGAAATTCCTGAGACTCAAGGAGCTGGTGTGAATTGCTCAAAGCCTTGTAGCTAGTAAATGGGAGAGCCGGGGCTTAGACACAAGGGTTCTGATTTAGAGCCTAAAGCTTTTATCAGTGAGAGAGATCTCCTGTTGATGTGGCCCATCTTCCAAGTTCATGCCAGCCTATTACAAACATCACACTCCTGTCAACACCAGCCCAAGACAGGGAGACCACCCTAGACTCTAAGACATATGGCTTGCTTTGCTGGGTCTCTTTTCTCTGCTTGCTTTGTCCTGCCAGAACTATGTTGTTGCTTCCTAGGCCTTCTGAGCTTTTGAAAAAGTTCCTATTAAGTAGAAAGATGGGCAGCATCCTTAAGTAGCCCTGCACTGCTAGTTTCCTTGAACGGTAGGCAGGGCCTGGCAGAATGGAGCCTGGCCTCTTGGCCAGGACCAGTAGTTTGTGCCTGTCCCTGAGTCCCATCCGTTGTGAGCAGATGGTTTCTAGGATGTTCTTTCCCACCTCAAACCTGAGAATGTGACTTGCCAGCCCCATAGAGCCCCATTCTTGCCCATCACTGGCATCTGGACTCAGGCCTTGGTTGGAGCAAGGAGGAAAACAACCATCTCCTAACCTGGGTCCTTTTGGTCCACAGAAATCAAGGACCCCAACCCCACTGTGTACCAGCTGAGAAGCCCCAAGTCCAGCGACACTTCTGTCTGCCTGTTCACTGATTTTGACTCTGAAGTCCAGCTGACACAAATCACGGGGAGCAAGTGGAACATGATGCACAAGACAAATAGCACCGCGCTCGACATGGAGATCCTGGGATCCAAGAGCAACGGGATAGTGACCTGGGGAAACACCAGCGATGCTGGATGCGAAGACACCTTCAGCAAGGACATTCTCGTAGCCCCCAGCGACGGTGAGTGCAGCCTGGGTTCAGCTCTAAGTTGTCTCCTCCATCGACAGGCCCATTTGTGCCCAGGGCTCAGGTGTGTGACATCCAAAAGCTGCTCTGATTGGTGGTCTCAACCTCATCAACTGTCAGCAAAGACCCCTCCCTTCTCATTCCTGAGCATCAGGGAGCCCCATCCAGGCAGGTCACAGAACGTCCTAGACAAATAGCAGAGGGGGAAGAATCTGAGAGCGCCAGGGCCCTGAAGCTCACCCTCTCTGAGCCCCACCCCCTGCCTCTGCTCAGCCCCTCACTGCTCCTCCAGGCTCCAGTGTGCTTCTCCCAGATCCCTCCTTTTACTCCTCCCTCTCGGCCAAGAGCTTCCCAGCTCCTGGCCTCATTCACTCATTCACTCAGCAATTGCTGACTGTGCCTGTACAACATGCCCAGTGCTGCCATGGAGGAAGAAATGCATCCGATGAGGGGTCTGCTCTGAGTAAGCCCCATTCCCGTTGGGGGAGACCAACCATCAACAAGCAGAAATCTAAAGAACTCCAGATTATCATGCTTGCTTTAACTTGGAGTTGGGGAAATAGCCACCCTAGGGACAAAAGTCAGAGAAGGCCCTCTAGGGAAATGCTATCTGAGCCGAGATTTCAAGGCTAAGGAGATACCAGCCATAAGAAGAGAAAGGACCCTATAGAGTCAGGAGCACAGTGAGAGAGGCCAAGGGCAGGAGGAGATGAGGTGGAAGAGATAGGCCAGAACCAGATCACAGAGCTTTGCCCGTGATGAGAGGGAGACACTGGGTAGTGAGGAGCTATTGATTGCCTATTAGCAGGCAAATGACACTCAATTTACTTTAAAAAAAAAAAAAAGAAAATCATCCTGGGGGCTTCCCCAGTGGGTCGGTGGTAAAGAATCTGCCTGCCAGTGCAGGGGATACAGGTTCCATCCCTGTTTGGGAAGTCCCACATGCCATGGAGCAACTAAGCCCCGTGTGCCACAAGTACTGAGCCTGTGCTCTAGAGCCCAGGAGCCAAAACTACCGAGGCCGTGTGTTGCAACTATTAAAGCCTGTGCTCCGCAACAGGAAGCCACCGCAGTGAGAAGCCTTGGCACCAAAACTAGAGAGTAACTCCTGCTCCCTGCAACCAAGGAACGTCTGGCACAGCCAAAATAAATAAACAATTTTTTTTCCCAATCACTCTGACTAGAGTGGAAAATGGATTGTAGGAGCTGAGAGTGGATACAGAAAAGAAGCTCATGCAGCAGAGAGAGGATGGAGTTATTTATTTGATATTTTGTTTTTTATTTATTTAACTAAGGCACTGGGCCTTAATTAGGACATTCAAACTCTTAGTTGCAGCTTGTGGGATCTAGCTCCCCAACCAGGGATAGAACCCAGGCCTCCTGCATTGGGAGCACAGAGTCTTGGTCACCGGACCATCAGGGAAGTCCCTGTGACAGGGGAGTTAAAAGCTCAACACTATTTGGGATTCAAAGCTAGAACCATGCAGGGTCGAAAAGGAAAACGGGAACTGAGGAAGGTGGCTGGATTTTCTTTCTGAGCAGCTAGGTCAATGATAATGCCATTTACTGAGTCAGAAAATACAAGCAAACAGATTTGCAGTGCGGGGGTCAAAACCTTGTGGAACAGGTGAAAGCATCTATACCCCTTATGGCACTTCTCACGGTGTCTGTCTTACTTCCTCTATCAGACTCCAGACTGGAACTCACCCAAGGGTGGAGTCTGATGGCTCCTTGTGTCATGTAACATGCACTTAGCACAACCAGTATTAAGTAAATAAAATGGTGCCTAGAAGCCAGGGTGCTGGTCCTTCGATGGTCAGTGGTGGCCCCAACAGGTGCTCATACGGGACAAGTTCCTTCCAGATCTCTCCACGAGGAGGCATGGAAAAGCTGGAAACATTCACCAGCCCCGCTTCTGGGGTGGGAAGTCAGAATGCTCAGGACTCTAAGAAAAATGTCTTTATTTCTCCTTTTAGGAATTGCCTGTAATGCCAAGCTGGTAGAGAAAAGCTTTGAAACAGGTAAGCGAGGGATCCATCCTGGCTTCACACAGGTCTGGGGAGACGATGAACCCACAATCACCCAGACGGGATAGAGGCAGTGTGAAGGAACATGTGGATCTAGGAATGAAATTCTAAGGAACAAGAACAGCAGTTCAAGCCCCGTTCAAAGCTGCCTGGGGACATTCTTGAATCCCTAGATTCCTCTCACCGTCTCTAATTTTCTTTTCCACTCTAAGAACTTCGAGGATACGTCTAGTTCTGCTAGACCAATGACTCACTCCCAGGCCTCTATATTCCTTTCGGTGGATTCCTCCACTGTCCACAGAGATCAAGAGAGCTTCTGGGTAGCCCAGCTGGGAAATCTCTGATCAGCTCACATAAAGCCCTAGACTAACCCGGTCTTCCCAAGGATGTTCTCCCTCCATAGCCTGGGGGTTTTGCCTTCTTTCAAGAAGAGCAGCAGAACTCATGTGGGCGGTGACCTTGGCTCTCAAAGATCCCCACCACTCCTCACCACCTACTCTGGGTACACGCTTATTTCCATTTGAGTCATTTGTACTGAGTCATCCCTCTAGGGCTTGCCTTATGGCCCCTGCAATGCGGGAGACCTGGGTTTGATCCCTGGGTCGGGAAGATCCACTGAAGAAGGAATAGGCTACCCACTCCAGTATTCTGGTCTGGAGAATTCCATGGTCTGCATAGTCCATGGGGTCGCAAAAAGTCGGACATGACTGAGTGACTTTCACTTTCACTTTCATCCCTCTGTGGTTCTGCCACTAGATTCTCACTGAGGGGCCCAGACCCAGGGTGTTGCATGTGCCAAGTTCTGAGCATCCACCACCCCCCACCCACTGAGAGGCTCAGCCCTAAAACTGAGAGTAAGGCTGTTGGTGTTTCCCTTTGGAAATGAAATGCTGCTGACCCTGGTGCGTGCGCGCTCAGTCACTAAGTTGTGTCCGACTCTTTGCGATCGCATGGACTGTGGCCCACCAGGCTTTTCTGTCCATGGAATTTTCCAGGCAAGAATACTGGAATGGGTTGCCGTATCTTACTCCAGGAGATCTTCCCAACCCAGTGATCAAACCCGCATCTCTCACGTCTCCTGCATTAGCAAACAGAGTCTTTACCACAGTGCCACCTGGGAAGCCCCTGTTGACCCTAGAGGGATGTACAGATATGTTTATGAGGGGATGTGCACCAAAGCTCAAAGGGAGAGGCAGATGGAGGCACTGAAGCCCACCATATTCCCCACCCTGCTTTCGGTGTCACGGGGGCTGTTCAGACCTGCGCCATGACTGCTGTGGCTCCTTGTTTTTGCAGATATGAACCTAAACTCCCAGAACCTGTCAGTGATCGGGTTCCGCATCCTCCTCCTGAAGGTGGTCGGGTTTAACCTGCTCATGACGCTGCGGCTCTGGTCCAGTTGAGGTGAGCTGACATCTCAGCCAGGTGGTGGGGCCCCAGGCGCAGGTCCCCAAGCTCTGAAAAGGAACTTCCCCCAGGCTCTTGCTTTTAGGCCCTAAGTCTGGACCTACCAGACTCGTCTTTTCCTGTTAGTGGTTCCTCTTGTTAATAGCAATGGCCCAAAACACTTAAGAAACACAATACACTCCTCAGCTGACATTGGTCACCTCCTTTGAGCCACATCTCACCTACAAAGTATGAAGAACGATTGTTATTATCCTCATTTTGGGAATGGAGAAACTGAAGCCAAGGAACATCAAGGCCACACAGTTAATGAGTGGAAGTTAGGAGACACTTAGGACCCAGACTCATTTATACCTACGCCTTCTATTGTACCCCAATTCATTGCAAACCTTAGGGGCCCCCCATTCCTCACCCCCCATTGTGGTAAGGCAGTATTGTATTTGTTATCCACCCTAATTCTGACTAGAATCTCCAGACCCTTTCCCCCACTGTCCCAGGTCATCCCACTGACAAGAGCATCTTATCAAAAAGAACTCTGGGTCCATCTGCCCCTAGAACGCTACAAACAGAAGCATCCTCATCACATCCCTAACTGTCCTGGGTCTCATCACTATGCAGCCTGACCCTGTTCTTCCTCATCCCAGGTCACCGACAGCCTGAGAGCCCCATGCTCCCTCGCCCCTTGCTCCTCGTCGCCCTTCCTCTCCCTCTCCAAGCAGAGAGGCGCACTCTCTGCCCCTGTGGATGAGAAGGCTCCCTCCTCCTCTCTGGCCTGGCTGGCCATACCACCAAATGAATCCTCCAGATACTGGCGATCAAGATGCTGACAAGCTGCCCAGCACAGCTGCCACCCACTCTGTTCCTCACTGCTGCTTGTCACTGCCTGGCATTCTTGGCAAAGTCGGGGGGCTGCTGCAGCCTCTCCTGGCTGTAGGGACACTCCCTCCCCACCCCCACCCCCCAGAGGCTGCCTCTGATGTCCCACTGGATGGTGGATCCCCAGTGGGTTCTCTTGGGCTCTAGCTCCCGGAGAATGTTGTGTGGTGTTTATATTTTTTACATAGTGTTTATAAAAAAATATATATCACCCTTTTTCCCAAGATGTGGGGAAAAATTATCTTTTCATGATCTAGGCCCTGCTCTGCTATGTATTTGAGCCACATTGTATATTCTGCTGCCAAGGCTTCAATAAAAGCGATTTGGAAGAGACTGTGCTCCTGTTTGACTGAGTTTGGTCCGGGTCATTTTCAGCTTGCTGTGGATCACTAGCTGGGCAGAAAGAAACTAAGCCGTCCATCCATGAGGACATTCGGCAGGCCTAACTCAACAAGCTGCTTAAGTCCACCTCTTCCTGGAAAAACCTCTAAAGAATTCCACTGAGAAGGCTGTGCTGGGGCCAGGCAAACCCACTTAAAAGCCTGGGCCCCTGCTCTTCCACTGGGCATAGCAGGAGGCCCATGTACATGGGTGGTAATGACCTGTAGCTGAAATTTGGCAGACAGGGACCACACAGCAAGTGTCCCCAAAAGGCCACCCACTGTCTCTTGCCCTGAAGAAACACTTCCTTTGCCTTTCCTTTCAGACTGGATTCCCACTGAAACTGTGCGTTGCTCTACAAGTTCATGGCTGGGGACCACCTACCACTCCACTGCCCCCAGTGCCCACCAGTGGCTCAGCCCCTTGGCGTGTCAGTCTAGGAGTGCGGGAAGAGGGGAGAAGAGGGTGACCCTAGCCATCACCCTGGGTGTGAGAACAAGGAAAGCAGAGATGAGCTCTCGCCTCTCAAGCACAGGGAGAGAACAGGCACCTTGGCCAAGGAAAATAGGTGTCTCAGGCCCTCACCTAGAAGACAGGAGGTGGGGTCCCCTGGGATTCTCCTGAGCCTTCTGCTACCTTAGCACCTTTCCTGGGGTGCTTAGGAAAGGGAGCACCCCTCAGACACTACTCAGCCATCCACCTCACAATTACCACTCTCAAGACTGGAGCCCAGTGCTTACCGATTCCTGGTGGAGGAGTGGGAGGGGGTTCTAGCCCCAAGTACATCTACAGTTCACCTGTGTGTCTCTGACCACACAGCCAGAAACAAGCAAATCCTTCCAGCTACAATTCAGGTCTGAGGCTTTTTACAAGGATGGAGCCACCAGCTCAATAGGTAACATCAGCATGTGTCTCCCGTCTGTGAGTTCCAGGGTCACCACCTATAAAACCTATTCCACTTAGGACTGGAGGCTGCCTCCAGCTCCCCGCATCTCTGATTCTATGGCTTCTATAGAGGTTAAGAACCATGTTCAATACTGGCAGCCCTACCAAGGATAGTCACAGAAACCCCAGTGGTCTCTGAGCAGCCTCATGCGCAGCCTAAATACAAGTGCCTTTAAAGATCACTAAAGGGAAAGATCTCAGAGGAAATCCCATCATAGCAGATCACTCTCACACCCAGAAGAAGAGTTACCCCCTGCGGGGAACTCAAAACTGCCTCCTCATCAGTCTAACATGATGGCAAAGACTCCACCATTGGGAATTTCTTTTAAATAAAGCATTCTCTTCCCCCTATTAAATGAAAATGCCCCTGGGAGGGTTAACAGAGCAAGCCTTTATCAACTGTTAAAAACTTTAGGCAAATTAGCCTTTTTTTTCCCTCCTAAAATAGTAATCCACTTTGGTCTGTATACATAAGAGCCAGGCAAGAGACTGTGCGGGTGGCTGGGGAGGCAGGCCTGCTCCTGAGCCTTGGCTGCGAAGATGCTGAGGATGAAGGGGAAATGGGACTTGTGGCAGGGGACAGCGGCAGGGACACTGGAAGGCAGTAAAGGGGCCAAAGACAGACCCCTCCAAGAACCGCAGAGGAGGCCCAGGTGGAAGGAGACCAAGGGAGCCTGTGGAGTCATGCCGCTCAGGGTCCTTAGATGGTAGGGCCCTGTGGTCACTGGACCCCTGAGGCCACCTGAGGAGCTAGGAAGGGATGCGGCAGCAGTGCCCAGGGATCCTCCCAGACCCGTGGAGGGGGGAAGGCCCACTCCTTCCAGGCCCAGCCCAAGCTGAGAGTGACAAGGCCTCAGGCAGGTAAGAGGCCATCTGGAAAACAGGGTTAGCATCAGCTCGGGGAAGTTTTCCATCTCAAACCTGGATTCCTCTATCGCAGCAAAAACCTCTCAGGTCTGAGGCTGTTAAGCCAACAGCCAACTAAGCAAGAGTGCTGAAGGGGTGGTGCAGAGTCCTCGGCGGCTGTGTCCTCTCTGTTCTCACGTCTGGCCCAGGCCCCACCAGGGTGTCAGAGGCGATCAAAGGGGCCTTGTGAGGAGGCCTGGGGAAGGGTGCCTATGCCCGCTAGGAGGGCAGAGCTGGGCCAAGGGCCACTGCAGCAGATCCCTCCATGCAGTAAGGGACCAGTGTTCAGCGTGGAGGGAAGAGGCTGCTGAGGAAACCTGGAGACATGGTCACCAAGTCCCTGAGAGGGCCCAGCCCTGAAGAGCCCATCCTCACCAGCAGGGGCCAGCCTCAGGGAGGGACAGCCATGCCATCCCAAGGTGGAATGTGCCCCCAAGGCCAGTTGCAGAACAGAATTCTCCGGACAGACATCCTACTGCCCCCAAAAGACTTAAGCTCAGGCCAACCCTGGAGGCAGAAAAATGGACCAAATGACTTCTCTGAACACCAAGCCTAAGACTCTAGAGAATTCTCTGCCACTTCACCCAGAAATCTGCCCTCTGAGTCCAACTGGAATCACGATCCGGTCAAGAAAAGGGCAGGCTAACCCACTATGTGCTTCAGGAACACTTGGGTGGGGTCTCAGCCCCAACAGAGCACCCCTCACCATGACCCACCATTGGAGGGGCAGCCATCTGAGTCTTGAAGAACTGTTTTCTTCTTGGTTTGCCCATAACATCTAACTCCCATGGGGTCACATGTAAAGCCTTTGACAGATACCACTTTAGTTATCAGGTAATATCTCAGCAAGAAAATCTATTCAATTATGAGCACCTTGGGATGGGAGGTATATGGTGTTCATCCGTGTGTCTGCAACACCCAGCACAGTGCCTGGCATACAACTGATGCTTAATATACACTTAAGCAGCAAGTGAACAAATAAATGAGGCAGGGGGCTCATCAGGCACTGGGGAAGGAGCGAAGATGTATATGTGTGTAGGGGGGTGAGGGAGCATAAGAGAAAGGAAAATGGGGATTAATATACGAGGTGGTCCGGTGAGCCACATTTTCACAATTTGTGTATGTGTGGTTGCTCAGTCTTGTCTGACTCTTTGCAGCCTCATGGACTACAGCCTGCCACACAAGAATACCAGAGTGGGTTGCCATTTCCTACTCCAGGGGATTTTCCCAACCCAGAAACTGAACCCGAGTCTCCTGTGTCTCCTGCATTGGCAGGCGGATTTTTTACCTTTGAGCCTCCTGAGGAGGCATTTCATAATTTAGCCAAGAGCTAAGAGTAACCTGTCGAGAACTATCAGGAAAAGAAGAACCTGAGTGATGGTCCCTTGGCCAGAGCAGCTTCGGGTGGGCACTCATCCAGTAGAGCCTGGGGGATGGGAAAGCATCAGGGCTTCTAGGCATCAGCCCTCCCATTACTGAAGGACCACACCCAGGTCCAGGGCTGCAGGCCACCTTACCATTCACCTCACTTTCCCCACGTGTCCTGTCTTAAAACTCTCTCTCCATCTACCTCTGGGAGCAACCTGTGGGAAGAAGAGCTTCTGACTGATGGGTGGGTCTGGGGAGGTCTGCAAGCCCAGGTCACTGTGTCACTCTGCTAATGAGTACACTCAGAAGCCAGGAGGCTGGCGGGCCAGTGCCCTGCCCCTGTGTAAGGCCCCCTGGATGAAGGCCTAGTTTCACCCAGACACTCATATGAGTACGGTTTCCTCTGAGTATCACACTGAGAGCTATATTTTGAAATTAATAAGCAGGTCAGACATTGAGTCAGTAGCCAGATGTAGGACAGGAAGTGGAAAAAGCCTCCCACTTCCGTGCAGGTGTTTGGGGG